GGGGGGGAGGGAGAGGGCAGGAGACAAAACTTTTCTCTCACTCTCCAGAGATTAACGTCAGAGGAGATCATCCGATCATCTAATCTGATCATCTAGTTCCTGTATATCACACACCACTGCAGGTCACCCAGTTTCCCCCATGCTGAGCCCAATCATTTGTTTGGCTAATGTATCTCTTCCAGAGTGGCAGTCATTCCTTCAAGTGCCTTGTCCAGGATCTCAAATGGTGCATCTTTAACCACTTTCTTTGGGACACTAGTCCATAGTCGTAACACCCTGGATTATCCTGAAGGGGTTTAAGGTAGGATAGTGACCCCAGGGGGCAGTAATTAGCAACAAATGTCTTGCCTCAAATCCCTTGCAAATGCCTTGCATCTGAGAAGAAAAGGGATTACAATCTGACATGTTGCAGGTGTTCATGTATTAAAATGCCACTTATAAAAGGTCTATAAAGGGGTAATAAATGATCAATCAATGTTCCAAGCATGACACAGACACAAGTGGTATGTGTGTTATGCAAGGCTAGAAGGAACTATAGATAGCCATAAACCATGCTGACAAGATCTATCAATTCACGGATTGAAAGCCAGAAGGGATCATATAGTACAAGGGCGGGCAAAATACAGCCTGCGGGCCACATCTGGCCTGCCAAGCCACCACATCTGGGCCATGGGAGCCTCAGCCAGGCTCCCTGCCTGCCTTGCCCCTACACGCTGCTCAAATTAGCTCTCTGAACACTGCAAGGGTAGGGGCAAGAGATTTTGCATGCTGCCCCTCCCCCCAGCACAATCTCTCAGCTCCCATTGGCCGCTTTCCTGAACTCCTGCTACAGGTCACAACCTCCTCCCGGACCCTGCACTCCTTCTTTTGCCCCCTCCTCCAGGCCAGAATCCTCACTTGCACTCAGCCCCTTCCAGATCCCACAGCCCATCCTGCACCCAAATCCTTACCCAAACTGTCTTCTGCATCTAACCTCCATCACGGACCCCACACCTCCTCCAATAATATCACGGAAGAGTGCAGCCCTTACTGCCCATCTCGATCTAGTCTGACCTCTTGTGTAACTCTGGCCAGAGAAAGAGAGACAGTAATTTCTGCATCATGCCCACAACTTCTGTTTGAGCTACGGTGCTCTTTAAAAAAAGATACCCCGCCTGGATGTAAAGACTTCAAGCGTTGGAGAATCTACTGTTCGAATGGTTAATAATCCACACTGCTAAAAATCTGCACCAGGCTGGATCCAGTAACAATCTAAAACACCTGATAACCATGTATTAACATGTCTATTAACCCTCAATAAACAGTCCCCCATATCAAATATAAGGGCAGGGTTTTTTTTGCATGGATGTTGTGGTTTTACTTCCTGAGAAGGATGCTGCTAGAAAAATCAGTGCCCAGTCCACCTCTGTTCAAATCAACAGGACTTTCTTCTCTGACTTACATGGAATCTGGCCCAGGTCCCCAGTGTCCTGCTTTCTGAAAGCTCAGACTGCCTGCTAAGAATCTTTTCATAGTCCATTCTTCCCACCTGTCCCAGTTCTCACTGGGCCCCAACCCCTCCCTACCTGAATGCCACCCATCACACACTCAAATGGTGCCTGCCCAGTGCCGCCAGCACCACTTGGCATCTCTGATGCAGGGCGGCTCAGGAGCTAGGGCATTAGCCCAGGACTTGAGAAAGACAATTCCCTGCTCTGCCCAAGGCCTCTTGGGTGATGCTGGGCAAGTCTCTGTTGCAAGTGGCTACCTGTAAAAAGGGGCCAGTAGCACCCTACCTTGCAGGGGTGTGCTGATGCTATATAGATTGGGAGGTGCTTAAAGACTGTGCTGATGGGGACTGCAGATGCACTTTGATAGATTCAAGCCTCCCACCAAAGCAGATTTCTCCTTCCAGAAAGTCACCAGTTAAGCAGCCTCAGGGCACTCATGGGCTGCGTCTAGACTAGCATGATTTTGCGGAAATACTTTTAACAGAAAAGTTTTTCCATTAAAAGTATTTCCGCAAAAGCACGTCTAGATTGGCACGGATGCTTTTGTGCAAAAGCATCCGTGGCCAGTCTAGACGTGATTTTGTGCAAGAAAGCCCCGATTGCCATTTTAGCCATCGGGGCTTTTTTTGCGCAAAACAGTTCTTCCCTGTCTACACTGGCCCTTTTCAGCAAGTATTCTTGTGCAAGAGGGCTTTTTCCCGAGTGGGAGCGTGAAAGTATTTGCGCAAGAAGCACTGATTTTGTACATTACAAGTCAGTGCTCTTGCACAAATTCAAGCAGCCAGTGTAGACAGCTGGCAAGTTTTTGCGCGAAAGCGGCTGCTTTTGTGCAAAATCTTGCCAGTTTAGATGCACCCATGCTGTTTTAGTTGTACCTGTTCTGAAGCCAAACAGGGTCTGTGCTTTCCTGGTGACTGTCCCTCGGGCACTACCCTGCTGAAGGGAATACCCTACTTGGCAGAGAGAGGCTCTGCGAAAGCCAAAGCACGGTGACAGCAGTAGAGCTCCCTTCCCAAACTCTAGGCCTTGCCATTATTATTCAACATCTGTACAAAGTGCCAATGTGCACGTGACTCCAGGTTCTGGTGATTCGGGGGAGATGTCCCCTGTGGAGTCTTGTGTACCCATCACTGAGCTCTGCACACATCATTGCAAGTACTCAGCAGGCTTGGAAGATGACCTCAAAAGTTCCTGTTGCCTCTGAGAGAAGTGGGAGCCATGGGGCCATGCACACACGTAAGGGCCAGGCAAGCACGAGGGGCAGTGATAGTAAACAGGGAGGGCATACGAGCAAAACAGAGAGGGCGGCTCTTACCACTTCCACCACCATCTCCTGGCGCAGGAACCTCCGGAGCGGGGCTTGGAGCTGCAAGAGTGGAAACAAAAAGAGTGGTCAGAGGCGCCACATGTTCTGTTGGTCTCAACTTCGGAGCTGGCATGATAATGCGGACAAGGCCCTTGTTGTGAACACAGCAGGCACTGATTCGGGTTGTCAGTAGCAGGGTTTTAAGTACCACCCTGCGATTCTGGACCATCTTCCACCAGGAGGGCTCACAAGCACGTTATGAACATCAGTGAATTGCTCCTCAACCCTCCCTATAGACTAGGTGCATGCAGGCCAAGCTGCAGAGAGGAGAAACTAGGCTAGCCTGAGAGATGCAAGGTGGCACAGAGATGAAGAGATGGGAACTGACCTAGGAGAAACCAGATCAGAGTATCTGAAGAAACCAAGTGGGGCCAGATACCTCTGGGTAAAGCCACCGATGTCAAATTATCCCTTCCCCGGGGGCTAAACTGAAAAATTCAGACTCATTATCAAACTGTAGCAGGGTTCGAGGAAGTTCAGATCTGGGGTTTTGCTTCAGCCCACTGTGGAGTTGGGGAGCAGTTGCTGGGTTCTAAACCAGTCCCACAAGGTCCCAAAGCCTGGGTGCTTTTGGACTGGGGTGCGGTCTCATGGCAGAGCAAATGAGGGCCTGAAATGATCAGTGAAGGATTGAGAGAGAAACTGAGGTTGGAAGGTGCTGAAGCAGCACGCGGTCTGAGCTCTCGCCTTCCACAGCTCAGCCACTTTCCCAGGCAACACCTAGGACCCAGAGCCAGGGCTACATCTGTAACCAGCACACCCTTGGGGAGCCTGCCCCCTCCATACAAACCCTAACCCGCATCCTTTGTACAGAGTTTTGCATACGTACATCCTCCATCCCTTCAATGTGGGACTCGATCTCCTGTACGATCCTGGCGTTCCGCTCCACCTCCTCGGCGCTCTTCATCCCTTTGTTTATCTTCTCGGCCACTTGCTTGATGTTCCTTTGGGCGTCGATGAGGTAGGGGTGGTCGGGGTGGTCCTCGGGCGTGTGCTTCAGGAGGTCCTAGGGGAAGAAATAATGAAAAACATTAAAGTACTCAAAACAATGCACCCAGCAGCAAATATGAGGAAAAGTCCCGAACATATGAGCTGAAAACGTGGGGTGTGTTTAACCTGGAGAAGACTAAAAATGGAAAGGATAACAATTTTCATGTACATAAAAAGGTTCTTACAAGGAAGAGGGAGAAACATTGTTCTCTTTAACCTCTGATAATAGGACAAGAAGCAATGGGCTTAATTGCAGCAAAGGAGATTTAGGTTGGACACCAGGAAAAATGTGCTAGTTATCTGGCTGGTTAAGCACTGGAATAAATTGCTCAGGGAGGCTGTGGAATCTTCATTATTGCCAATTTTTAAGAGCAGGTTAGACAAACACCTGTCAGGGATGGTTAGATAAAACTTCATCCTGCTGTGAGTGCATGGGCTGGACTAGACCACTTGAAGTCCCTTCCAGTCCTATGATCATTTCCTCCTCTTAATAGATAGGGAAATGGAAGCACAGAGTGGGGAAGTGACTTGCCTACTTCAACAGAATAGGTCTCCTGAATCCCAGTCCAGTGCTCTATAGCCATCCCACTGTAAAATGCAAGTGGAGACAAGGCCTGTGGTTTTACCGAGAGTTACATTAGGGGAGGAGGTTAGGGAAGGGGAAGAGTGTTGATTTTACATAGCTACAAAAACAAGAATGAGCTTGTGTCTACTCGGATTGTGCAGAGAGATAGCTAAGGTGTGTTAGTTAACCTCACTTTTTTAGCAGTGGAAACAAAAACCTCAGTGTAGGACTGGTGGCTAACACTGGCATTTCAAACAGTTGATTAGGTATGCTATGTGCAGAATGAGATGACATAGCACTTAAAACACTGGTGTCAGCAACTGGCTCCCACTGGTGTCAGGAGTAGGATTCCATCTGCACTAGCGCTCTCAAGAATGCCAACAGTTCAGACAGAGTTAGCTATGGCGAGAAAGATTTGCAGAACTTCTCTAGGGCATCTGAAGCTACTGATGGGCCTGGCTGGCTGGCTGAGATGGGCCTAGTGCAGCTGGGCAGATATTCTGGCACCACTGCAGACATAGTGACACCAAGTCTCAGTCACACTTCCTGTAATGCTACTGAAGATAATTCTGTGCCATCTGTAATGAGTGGGCAAACCATTTCCAATACCAAGCCCCCCCCAGGCAGACCCTGAGCTGAGAGCAATGATCAGTAGCAAGCCAGTAGACAGGGCCTCTGAGTGAGCAAACCCACATTTACAGCTGGGAGAGTATGGCAGGGAATGAGGCCAGTTGCTTTTGTTGGAGTTACACTGCCTGGGAACCAAGTAACAAGCTCTTAGAAGAGCAGTGCTGAGACCCTTCCAAAGGGGAAATCCCATAGTGAGAAAAATTCAAAGGACGATTACAGAGAGGGTTTTGCCAGTAATTTCCTTCATCCCTCCTTCTTATTGTGGACATGGCTGTTTTCCCTCAAAGTCCAGCCCCCGGCATGCTGACATTCACGCAACACCATTATGCTGCAAATACTGCTGCCTACTTTCTGAATGTCTTCACCCAGAGCACACAGAAATCTCTCCATTACAATTACACAACTTTTAAAAAAAGGCTCCGGCTTCTCCTTTCCAATGCTGCACCGGGGGAGGTGAAAGCTCCAGGAGGAAAAGTAACCTGTATTACACATCTCTCATGAGCCAATCAGGGAAGCAAAGATGTGCATATGGTGCATGCATCACAAGGCAATTACATTGTCAAGGAAAGCAGCAAAGCTTTTTCCGATACAGCCCCGTAGTCTAGACCTAGCCACAATTAGGCTTGTGTTTGGCACAAAAGGAGTGTGATTCTGAACTGAAACAATTCCTCTTTCCATCTGCCAAGCTGACAGAAACCAACGAAACATTTTTTATGTAGCAAGGAGCTGTCGGGAGAGCAACCCAGAAAGAGGTGCATTTTGCATTAAAACAGCTTTTATAGAAGAATGAGCATTTAATGCATCACACTCTGTGCACAATGGTGCGTACGAATATCAATGGAAAGCTGTTGCCATAAGTTACTCATTGGAAATCCCTGAAGTTCCTTTGGATTATTACAGGCTGTTTTCTTTCTGGAATATGAAAAAATGACTACTCGGGTGTGGCATATCCTATGCTGAAGATGAAGTAGGGGGTGTGTGAAACTATTTTGTCATTGGACTTCACAATGCAAACGTACCTCGACATTTTGCTAGCTTGGATAGCTAATTAGGTCCAATTAGGAATGATTCTATTTCAATTCTCATGATTCTATTTCAAACTTTACAGTTTCTGTTTGTTTGTTTGTTTGTTTGTTTGTTTGTTTTAAAGCACCAATTCCTGGAGTCTTGTGAACATGTAAGAATCCCAGCTTGTCATTTTTTTTAAAAAAGGAAGCTTCCAGCCCTTGTGATTACAGCGAAAAGCTTGAAAATGTGATCCTGTAAAAGGTTAAAAAACAGAAGACAACATAAAGAGAATCCTAAATTCATTATTTTTGAACTTCTCTGATTTTTTTAAGCCAGCCTCGTGATCTTTTAGGGCCTGACTCATGGGATTGTTGAATGGCTGGGGTTGGCCGTACTGCTCATGGGGCTAGCAAGGTTCCACCTACAAGTTCAAAACCAACCAAGGTTATGAGGTTGGTCCCTGCAGTCAGAGCTGAGGTTCTGTATCACCCCGGATCCACAAAGCAGTATCACAAGAAAAATCTTTTCTGTCCTGATGATTTTGGGGGGAGGGTTAAAGTTTGGCTGCTTGTCACTTTCTCACCACCCACAGCTAGTCAAAAATAACTGAATGCATCAAGGTTACAATCTAATCTGGAAACAATGCCCTGCTGAAAACACAGCACTGCTGCTGCAGGGCTTAGTCAAGCACCAGAAAAGAGGAAAAGCTAGCTAGCTTCCAGAGCCGCCTTTGCACACCACAGCCCTTGGGTGGCTGATTGCACAAAACATAGCAAAAGCCACTGGTTGGTTTGCGCTAGGAATTGCAGCCATGCTGACGCTGTCAGGCAGCTTGCCTGTTGATGCGTAGTGTGCTCACTGCACCGGTTCTCTACAGGGCAAAGACCCAGAGCACAACTTGTGGCAAAGGGTCTGGAGCATGAGGCAGGGATCTTGGATCAGTCTCCAGCTATGGGGCTGAGTTTGGACACGTCCTTTCACCTCTCTGCCTCAGCTCTCCATCTGTAAAATGGGGCTAATGTCCCCTTTGTCTGTCTTGTCTAGTCAAAGTGTAAGCTCTCTTGCCTTGCCCAGCAAGGCCACTCCTCTGACCCATGGACCAATTCCACCTTGATTTGTGCCACCGGAGAGACTGCCCGGGCAAGCCGCTCCCAACAAAGCCAGGCACTCGCTGAGCCTGGCACTCACAGGGCAGAGAACTGTGATGCTGAGCAGAAGGAGTAAACTGGTTTCAGAGCTTTGCCGGCTGTCAGGACGTTTAGTCATTTAAGGCCAAGAAAACTCGCTGGTTAATTGGCCGGATGTGAATGAAAATGCTCGGGCGGATGAGTGCTTGGAAGTAATTTAGTGCTGTCCACAGGCATCCATCAGGGCAGATGGCAACACTGGGGATGGCAGCAGGTCTGGTCATTCCTCAGGGAGGTATGATCTGTATACGCTCCCCCAGGCTGGAAGGAGGCTGTCTGGACAGAGACCCGGCCGGCTGCGGTGTGTGAATGCTTTCTGTCAGCAGTCTGCTTCTCCTCCAGCTCCAACGGCGATTCAGGGGGTTCCCTCACATCCCCACCTGTGCAACGGGCTCCCCGCCAGGAGCTGTTCTGCCTTCTATCAGCGGCTGCGGCAGCACCCTCCTGGCAGCTCTTCCCGCGAGCCAGCCACCGAACTGAACTGCTGCTGTGACCCACTTTAGCTTCCTTCTCCCCTCGCTCAGTTTGCCAAGGAGCACAGAAAGTTCTCCAGCGATCGACCGATCCGCCAGCTGCTTGGCAAAGAGCAGTAAGGGCTGGTGTGAGCCAGTGTCATGTCTGGCACTGGGCTTTCAGAGGGAGGCACAAACCCTCTAGACAGGGAACTTTTGGGGGGCTGTGCCTAGCTGGCTTCAGGCATCTGCTCTCCTCTGGCTTCTGACCACATCAAGCAGAGTACAGATTTATGGCCCCGCTCCTAGGAGTTAGCAAGAGCACAGGTACCTTTTACACATTCAACCTCACATGCAAGAGGAGGTGGCTAGTGGAGGAAGTAGGGCCCGATCCTGTCAGGTGCTCAGCACCCCTGGGGAGGAGCTGCCTGCTGCGGATCCACACTGAGGCCAGTGGGGTACTCAGCAATCAGGCACAGCAGACTCTAAGGGCCGAAGCAGAGACTGCAAGGGCTGACTTGGTCAGTTTTACACCCACGTCAGTCCAGTGACTTCAGGGGAGCTTCTCCTGGCTTCCTCGAGTGCCACTAAGAGATAAATCAAGCCCTGCAATGGATGGACTATGCAATAAACCAGGCATCTTTGGGAGTGGGCCCCCGGAGCCCTCTTGTCCTGCACCCCAAGCCACCCCACACTACCCCACTCCCAACAGCCCAGTCCCAGCCAAACTCCTCCTCAGGCCTTTGTCCTGCTTCCTGGGCAAAAGGTGTCACCAGGTCGCACCCTCTCCTGGGCTCAGGTTACGAAGGGCATCCCATTGTGTAGTGTGGGAGGCTATCGCACCCGAAATTCCCATCACCATCTAGGTGCTGGTGCAGTGCCCCCAGGGAAACTGAGGCACACACAGGGAGTTACTATAGGACAGCAACAGCCTTGACAGTGCAGGGAAATCCACACTCCTGGCGTGCTAGCAGAGTACATGTATCATAGAAACATCGAATCACAGAGCTGGAAGAGACCTCAGGAGGTCATCAAGTCCGACCCCCTGCCCAAGGCAGGACCAATCCCAATTAAATGTAGCTCCGGCCTTTGCAAAAGACAGCAGCAGAATGGAGTTAAAAAACTACTGACTGGTTGTCAGGCTAGTAAAGAACCCTCTTCCCACGCAGTTTTC